TGGGGATGTGTCTGAAGTCAGCTGGGTCTGGGTGACTAGGGGAACCTCTGCCCCAGTTCTGCTGTTATCTAACTCTCTGTGACCCATGGCACTCAGCTTCTCTGGGCTTCAATATCTCATCCCCCAGTGGGAAGTTAACATTACCACATTTGATGTGACAACAATAAAGACTTCCTAGGTCTGAACAGCCCTTTAGAAGCATGAGTCTGTCTGAATCAAGTGGGTTGGCATTGCTTCCAATAGTCTTCCATGTCTTGTCTCCCAGATCATCACCTACCGAGACTTTCTGCCTCTGGTTCTGGGCAAGGCCCGGGCCAGAAGAACCCTAGGACGCTACCGGGGGTATTGCTCCAGCGTGGACCCACGTGTGGCCAATGTCTTTACCCTGGCCTTCCGCTTCGGCCACACCATGCTGCAGCCCTTCATGTTCCGCTTGGACAGCCAGTACCGGGCCTCAGCACCCAACTCCCACATCCCACTGAGCTCCGCCTTCTTTGCCAGCTGGCGAATCGTGTATGAAGGTGATCAGGCTTTCCAGAGGAATGGGATATGGTGGGGAGCACTTCCTCCACCCCCGGGGGGCCCCTCTTACTGCCAGGAGGCCACATTGCTGTCTCTCTGGGGCAGGGGAGGAAGGACAGCACGACCTTCCATCATAGGCCTCCCTTCCCTGTGGGGAGGGGATTCCTGAGGGCCAGAGACTGGTGTTGGACTGGCTCCTTGTAGACCTCCAAGGCGCTCACACCTTCTTTAAGGATGTGGGGTGACCTCTTCCCCTGCTTCAGCTCCCTCATGTTCACCCTGGTTTCTGTGTCTGGACACACATTAGAGACTATAAGCAGCTGGCTTGCCCAGCTCTGAGCTACCTTGGCATCATGAGATAACCCAAGGGGCTCGTAGAGGCTGGTCCAGTCCATGCTGCTGTCATTCCCCACCACCAGGTGGCATTGACCCCATCCTCCGAGGCCTCATGGCCACCCCTGCCAAGCTGAACCGTCAAGACTCCATGCTGGTGGATGAGCTCCGGGACCGCCTGTTTCGGCAAGTGAAGAGGATCGGGCTGGACCTGGCAGCCCTCAACATGCAACGCAGCCGGGACCATGGCCTTCCAGGTAAGGGGGGTTCCCACCTCTCCTCCCAGGCTCAGGCTGGCCACTCAGAGGGTTCTCAGAAGACCCTAGGGCCTCCCTTCTGACAGGATGTGTGGTGGTACAGAGCTGATGTACCACCGCACCCTGGGAACTGTTATTTGCTGTCCTGTCACTTCCTCCCCACTGCTGTAGGGTCTCCAGCTTTAGGTTCACCAAAGGGCCAGGACTTGGGCACGGGAACTGAAAAAGGAGATCAGGACTTTCCCAGTGGAGAAAAGGAGTTGACTGAAAAGGCAGGGAAGACCTGCTCCATTCCCAGCCTCCCTGGGAAGTTCCAGGGAGGAAGGCTAAAGCTCTAGGCCTACGAAAGCTGGCTCCTTGCTGAGAGGTGGCAGGCAAAGAGCCTAAGAGGCAAGTAGCTAGCAGAGTAAAAGCAAGGCTGCCTTGGCTTCATGGGGAGGCCACAGGAGACTTCATCCTGGGGAAGATGAGTAGGCACTTTCATGGACGATCCATTCAGCTCTCCCAGTGACCTTGGCACACAGATACTATAGCCATTTCATACACAAGGAAATGAACTCAGAGTAATTTGCCCAAGGTCACACAAGTAGAAGCAGTAAAAGTCTGAACTGAAATTGACAGTCTTCCTTCTTCCTGCTATTCAACACCATTCAGCACCATTAGAGCAAAGGTGTCAGCCACTGCCATTTTCTCCTTTCTCTACCTCCTTGTGTAGGCAGAAGCCCTGTTGCCTGGGTGCTTTCTGGCCACATACAAACGAGTCGGGACTTCCTCCCACCTACTTCATTACCACAGCACCTGGCAGACACACAGCAGGCACTCTGAAAACCTGAGTTTCTTCTCCTCTTAAACTGGGGTCTCCTGACAGCTAAGGAGCTGTGGGCACCCTCTGCTGGAGACCTGAGATCACCAGCCAGCCTCCTAAATTGTGACACGATGACTTCTGTTCCCAGCACTTCTTCTGTTCCCTCCATGCCATCCCAGGAATATCCTGACAATAGCTCTCGCAGACTCCTCTAATCCCTTCCCGTGTCTAATACCAAATTTGAGGTCGGACGACCTGGTTTGAACTGGTTTCAGTGATCTTGGATAAATCACTTTTAAATATACCAGATATGATACTATAAAAGTACCTCACAAAGACTTTCTAGGGGTCCTGAGAAATATTCATGTATCAGAGCTTAGTAATAATAAGACACTGCATGGCTTCCCTTTGTTTAGGGGAAGGGGTTTGTGACATGGGGCTGGTGTTTCTTCAGGTTATGCAAAGCCATGTCGATCCTTAGTTGTCCATAAGGTATTACACAGCGTTGGCCCTGGTATTAGATCCTGACCACTTCCTTCCCTCCTTCTTTCCTTTATTGAGACAGCTGCCCAGACTTGGCTTGAACTTACACTCCTCCTGGCTCAATCTCCCACAGTGCCAGGATTACAGGGATGCACCACCATGCCCAGTAACCACTAATCTACTTTCTTTCATGTATTTGCCTATCTAGACTGCTCACATAAATAGAATCATATTGTGTGTGGTCTTTTTCTGAGTAGCTAAGTCTTCCTTAGTTGGTTTCTTTACTCATTTATTTACTTGCTCACTCAATCATTCTATACTCCTGATTCAGAGCTTTTGATGTTCTGGGTACTGAGCCTAATTAATGCGCATGAGCCCAATAATGGTATCATGAAAAGCCCAAGTTGTGAGTTTTGGCTACAACAGCTCCTCAGTCTGATGCACACAAAGCTTGGTTGTCCACTCACATTTTAGAGGACAGCAAGCAGATATTTGTACCGGTGGGGACCTTCTTGTTTGGTCCAACATTAACTATTCACAGAGCAGATGCCAGATCACTGTCCTCTAAAATGAGTGCACAGCCATGCTCTGGTGGACATGGGGAGAGAAGCAGAAGCTAATGAGAGATGGACAGGACTGAAGCTGCTTCTCCTTCTCTCCTGCAGGGTACAATGCATGGAGACGTTTTTGTGGGCTTTCCCAGCCCCGGAACTTGGCACAGCTTAGCCGAGTGCTGAAAAATCATGACTTGGCAAGGAAGTTCCTGAAACTATACGGGACACCTGACAACATTGACATCTGGATTGGGGCCATCGCAGAGCCTCTTTTGCCGGGGGCCCGTGTGGGGCCTCTCCTGGCTTGTCTCTTTGAGAACCAGTTCAGAAGAGCCCGAGATGGAGACAGGTGAGTGATTCTACTGTAAAAGGCATCAATTCAAAAGCAGAGCAGAAAAGCACTAGCATTTCAAGAATCCTTAGGGAAAAGTTTTAGATTGTTTCCAGGTTCCTCCCTGGAAAACTGGGTCTGAGAGGCAAGGCTGACCCAGGCAAGGCTAATACTGCCTGAGGGGGAGTCACCTTAAACCCAGGAGAGACCTGTCAGCCTCACTATTCTGGGCTGGCAGATCCCATGAGATGGAAAGGATTAAATCTGGTTTCCCTCCAGTAACCTTCTGGTTTAAGACCTGACTCCTTATTTGGATGTGATATTTGCTTGGTTTCAAATCTAACCCTGGCTACTTAAATTACTGTGCCTGTAATAATGGGCAATTTATTTAACCACTGAAACTGCTTCTTCATTTATAAAATGGGAATAATACCTATCCTGGAATAAGTTTCTAGGAATTGAATGAGATACTATATGTACTGTACCTCATACAAGACAAGTGCTTGTAAAGTAATTCCTTCCCAACTTTCTCCGACATCTCTTGACCTCCTGGTAGGTTCTGGTGGCAGAAATGGGGTGTTTTCACCAAGAGACAGCGCAAAGCCCTGAGACGGATTTCCTTGTCTCGAATCGTATGTGATAATACTGGTATCACCACCGTTTCGAAGGACATCTTCAAGGCCAATATCTATCCCCGGGGCTTTGTGAGCTGCAGCTATATCCCCAAATTGAACCTATCAGCCTGGCGAGGCAAATGAGGCTTCTGAAGGTAAAGGGAGGCCTGGACTGGGTCAGGCCTTCACACCTTTCCTTGGATAGATGGCTTCTCTTAGGCTTCTAAGTAGAGACAACAAAACTTGTCACCAGGGACAGGGGGCTCTTTCCTAGTGGCTTCCCAGTATGCTAAATTCTGAGCTGACAGTCAATCCCAAAGCTAGGACTCTGAGGGGCAATTAGAAATTGTCCAACTACCCTTAGAACTTGGTCACTAGTGCCCTAAAACAGTTCCATTTCTGGATATCTAGCAAGTCCCTCGCTTCTCCATTTCTGCTGTTTCCACAGGAGTCTATGCCAAGCCTCAAGTCTTGGAAATGAGGGGAAGGGGAAGATCATGAGGTTGCCTTCACTGCTGGAGCAGCTATATCCTGCTGGTGCTTTTGCTAGCTGCAACTCACTGCTGGCCTCATTGGCTGAGAGGGAAAGCTGAGGCTCCTGGCAGCAACTGACCCACCCACCCTGGGAGCCTCTTAAGGATTAGGTTATGAATTAGCACCAAATGCAAGGACTTGTGAGCCAAGCCATGAGGCTGTGAGTCGGCAAGAGGAGGGTTTCCAGCACTTTCTTCTGTTTCCCTACTACCACCACGACTGGAAGACCACATAGTTCCAGTCTCGCCACCCCACAATCCTGAGCCTGCAGGCTGGGAGCACACTCTCTACCAATAAAGCACTGCTGAGGGCAGGGCTGCTGTGTCTATGTTGGGTTAGGGGCAGACGGCCTCAGGCCCATGCTTTGCCCTAGATGTTGCGGAGCAGTGCTGCTATGACACAAGTTGGTGTTCTATGTCTGTTCTAGGAGCTGAATTAAGAGTCAAAGAAACACCCTGGAGGAAGGAAAGACAGAGAAGAGGAAGGGCAGAGGTGTTAGGGGCCCAGCATTAAAAGGTACTTGAGCCAGGCCAATGACCCGAGCAGAGAAACAGTCCACAGAACATGTCAATATATAAATAGATTTATGTGCAAAAAACACAGAAAAAGATACTGTCCAGCTAGCAAAAAGGACTGGGACCTGCCAGTGTTTTAGATCTCTCATGCTCCTCCTTTCTTGGAAGAAGGCAGGCTCCATTTTTAAAGGCTGTGAAATGGGCAGCTCCCTGCAACTGAGACTGAGACAAGCCTGAAGAGAGGCTGTGTCACGGACAGACTAATTAGGGGCTCACCCGTGAAAGTAGTTTCAGACCAAAAGTCCTGCCCTGCAGTACCGCCCATTTACAGCAGGTGAAATAGGAAGAGGGGCGAGGTGGGACAATAGGGTCTCTGGCTTTATTCTCACATGGCAGGAAGAAGACCCTGCCGAGAGTCCAGCAGAGGGGCCAGCCTGGGATTTTCCAGCACTTCTGGTCCTTGGCTGACCACTGCGGTGTCCAGGAAGATGAAGAGTCAGGAGGGCGCAGGCCTGACATCCCTCTTCTTGTCCTCTTATACCACAGGCCAGGGCCAAAGAGAGCTAGGAGACCAAGGTCCCCGAGGGGCTCCCTAGGTCCTGGGGGAGGCGGTCTCGGGCCTCCTGCATGCGGCGCCGGGCTCGATGAAAGGCCTCTGCAAGGGAAAACGATGCTGCTATGTAATCAGCTACTGCGGTGCAGAGAAGAATATGGTTCTGGGTGGCCAGCTGGGTGGGGGGAGCCTACCTAGCACATTGTGAATGGAACTCCGCTGGCTGAATCCTTCCAAACGGTCCAACACACTCCGCATCCTTTTCCGCAGGGAGCTCGATTCCATGAAGGCCCTTCGGGGAAGCCCATCACATGGTCACGGCTGTTCTTTGGCCCTTAGGGTTGAGGAGCCTGAAACAGGGCTGGGGCAACTCACCTGGACTGCTGCAGACAGTGCAGGCGGAAAGTGACACTGCCTGTGGTCTCTGTGCGGAGTCCAAAGCGGCTGAGACGCTCCCCCTGGTGCATCAGTGGAGACAGCATGAGTTTCTGAGGTCTCTGGACCCTAGCTGGTGCCTCGCCCCAAGGTTGTTGGCCTTGCTGGCATTCTTATTCCCGTTCTTGAAGGAGAGCAGTTTTCCTGGGGAAACCTCACGCCATCATCCAAACCCCATCACTGCAAAGCTAGCTCTGGGCTCCCTACTGTAACTCAGGGAAATTCCAACCTCAGCTAACAACAAGCAGGCTGCATGCTTCCTGCAAACCACCCCTGCATCTGATTAGTGAGGCCTTCAGTCAGGGAAGAAGGGCCAGCCATTCAGGTGGGCACCAGGGGAAATCTCTAAGTATACTACTTTCCAGAGACCTCCTAGGATACCCGTGTGATTATCTGATCCTGGTTCAAATGTGGCCATGTCATCTAGCTGCAGCTGTAAAAGAAAGTGGCTTAGGAACAATGAGGCGGTGAACAACTAAGGGAAAGGCCTCAACCCAGAACCCACCCTCTGTAGAATAAAACAGAAACAAAGGTCTCAGTGTGAAGTCTCCCTGGAGACAAGTCACCTTGAAGGTTCCTGGTATCCGCACATAGGTCAGGTCCTCCAGCTCCAGAGAGCTGCCGATGAAGAACCTCCTCATCTCAGCAATGGGACCGAGCTCCATGGGCCTCCATGTGGACACTGTCAGGGTGTGTGAACCTGTGCAAGGGAAGAGGAGCATGGGGCCAGGCCCACAGACGGCACGTGGCCCCTCACTGACTCCCCAGCAATGACCATGCCTGGCTTGGTGACAACCTAACTGCTGGGGAAGGTAATCATGAAGGTTAAGAACACCTGTTTGGAAATCAGTCAGAAATTTGAGTCGTAGCTCTTCCAGTGATCACCTGTATGGCCCGGACAAGTTTCTCAACCTCCCTGAGCCTCCTTCTCCTCAACCCATGTAATGGAAATAATACTCTCACTTATACCTCACTGGGTGGTTGAAGAATTGGATGAGAACCATTTAGCACAATGCCTGGCACTCAGTAAGAGGCCGCTGCTTTTATTTCAAAGTGAATGCCAATTCAATGAAACCACATATGCCAAGAACCCAATTATCTGTCATGCAGCTTCTCTCACAAGGTCATAAATCCAATCAGAGGAGCAAGAAGCACATAAAGGAGACCATCAGGTTGCTTGGCTTCAGCAAGTCAATTCCAACATCACATCTAATTTTCATTATTTGTCTCTAATGGAGCAGGGAGGAATTCCTCAAAAGAACAAAGCATCTTAACTTGAATGCTTCTAATCCCAAAGTATTCCTACTTCTCATCAGAAGCATTCAAATCTGGAAACGTTAGTCTTGTTCCTAGGACTGAAGACACGTGGGCCACCTGAAGGGCAGGGACAAGAGGTTACCTGGGGTGACAGGCAGCACCACGGCCCCGTAGCCTTCTACACGGTACCTCTGCCAGAAGTCCAGGGAGCGGACCTCACAGTACAGCACAGGCCACTCCAGGAGAGCATCTGGATACAAGGGAGGGAAGCAGCCAGGTCACAGGAGGCTGTGGTCAAGGGAGGCTGTGGGCTGAGGAGAACCGAAGCCCAGGATCAACTGCTGCCCTACTTACCAGCTGATTCGTCCTCATGGAGAAAGAATGCTTCAAATGTGAATGGGTAGGAGAAGTAAGCTATGTTGTCCTGAAAAGGAGGAATGTCACTTTGTACTCAATGTCAGAAGGCGGGCAAGGCCTCACTTGGAATTTGTTATCCTTGTGGCTAATGACAGGGTCACTTTCATACAGAAAAAATAAAAATGATCATGCTGGTGGGAATTAAGAGGCTGAGTCAAAGAGACAGCCAAATACAACCTGCCACCATTCTCAAAATGACTGCAAGAGGCCCCCGGCCCAGGCAGCCCTTCGGAGCCCCCCCTCAAGGATCAGGCCCAAGTACTTCCCAGAGTACACAGCTGTTGACCTGACCGAGCTATGCCACCCCAGGAACAGATTCTTGTTCTCTTCCAGGGAAACCTGGTTATCCATACCATTCCCAGGGACTTTGTGGCACAGGTCTGGGTTACTCCTGAGAGCTGATGGAATTCTGGGCTTGACCATTCTGAAAGCCAAATACCACATACAGTAATTTCACCTGGGAGAAGACTAAGTCATTGAGAAAAAGATGAAGTTCCTTCATTCACTTATCCATTCACTCATTCATACAATGAGTCATGTATTTATCAGTTCCTGAGTGTCGGCTACTTGCTGGAATGACTTAGGGATATCTTGGTGACTAGATATGAAAGATCCCTATCTCCCATGAAGCTCACATCCTAGAGTGCACACGGAAGGAGAGACACACAAGACCAGCAAGAGATTATCAGGTGGCAGTAAGTGTCATACTAAATACAGAACAAGGGACTCAGTGACTTGGAGTTTCATTCAGAGTGGGGGTAAAAGAAGAAATGACACAAGCTGAGACCTAAACTGAAGAAGAACCACCCAAGCCAAGATATGGAAGAAAGGGTCTCTAAATGGTCCTGTAAAGGTGTAAGGTAGGAATGACACTGGCAATGTCAAGAGCAGGAAGAATAACTGGAATGCTGCAGCTCACTCAGGGTGTGGGGTTTAGAGTTCCCTAAGTGTGAGGGAAAGCTGTTGGGGTTTTCAGCTCAAATGAGACCAAACTGCTTAGCATTTTTAACAACACAATGTAGCTATGTGTGCATGGCAAAGAAGCTACCATGGGGGGAGCAAGAGAGGAAGCAAGAGGATAAGTCAGAAACTTAATGCATTGGCCCATGCAAGAGATGTTGGCAGCTTGGTGTAGGCTGCTAGAGAGAACAGACAGATCCAGGATGGAGCTGACAGGAACTGCTGATGGCCTGGCTGGCTACAGGGAGCTAGAGAAAGCAAGCAATTGTGCCTATGTCCTAGGGTTTTGGCACCTGGAACTAAATGGACAACACTGCCATTTTGCTAGAATGGGGAAGACCAGGGAGGGGAGGTTTGAGGGAGGAGGAAGAACTGAGAGTTCTGCTTGGTCAGAAACAAAGGGGAAAGAGGTAACTGGATATAAATCTGAAGTTCGGGAAGAGGCAAAGGCTAGAGAGGAGTCTGGGAGTCTGAGATACACAGATGAAATCTAAGCCATGGGTGGGGAGTGACTGCCTAGGAAGACTGTAAGCAGAGAGTACCAGCAGCCTAGGCTCAGCCTTGGATATGCACAGTTTAAGGTCAGCAGAAGAGGAGGAATCAGCCAAGGAGCCTGATCAGCCCCCAGTGAGATGGAGGAGAGGAGTGTAGGGCCAGAAGCAAGAGAAGGGAAGAAAAGTGAGCTGTGCAATAAGCTTCAGAGAGGCCAAGTAAGGGAAAAGCAGAGAAGTCACCCCTGGATTTGGCAATGTGAAAGTGCTCTATGTCCTTGAAAAGAATAGTATCAGCTTCAGTTGAGAAGCAGGGATGGAAGCCTGGCCGAAGCCTCTGTTGAACGGACATAAAAGGAGAGACCGAAGAGTATACTTACTAGCAGCTGGCAATTCCACAAAGAAATGGACGTAGAGATTGTCATACTCGTAGCCTTGGGCTGAAACTAAAAGAGAAAACAAATTATTTTAGCGTATTCTCCTAGGCCCACTCGTGAGGGGCCTACGAGCTCTGGAAAGAAGTCATCTGTGGGCCTGGGCCACTCCATTTCCAGGAAAGACTCATCATAAGCTTTCCATACTGCAGACAGGCCAAGTTGGGGGGCTACTCAGGGTGGGGTAGGTTACTCACAGCTTCATCACGCTGGCCTATGCATGGAGAGATCCGTCTGGCAAAATACTTACCTACCTCTCCATTTACAAAGAGCCGGAGGGCACCTGTGGCCGTCTAAGGTAGAGAGAAGTGGAGAAAGATCAGGGGGCCTGGAGGGACTCAGCACCTCTCCTCCAGCCCCATCCACAGATCTTCAGAAGGTTTGACACTGGATGTCGGACCCTGGGCCACACTACTGCACCTTCTCCCCAACCTAACTCTTCAGCGCAGGACTGCTCCCTTCATTTCTAAAATCCAAGGGGAAAAGTACACAATCTACATGGCAGGGAGGGCAGTGTAGTCTGGGAAATTACCAAGGGAAGTAACAACAGCACCCTTCAGAGCGCAATGAACACTAAACCCTTTTCATCGCTGAGGCCAAGAACCCAAGGGTTTTCTTTTTTAATTAGTTGTGTATTTGTCTTGTGTAACTTTTTAATGTGAATATCTGTTGCTTATACAATATGAAAATAAGTTAATTTTTTAGACACAGAAGAAAACCCATGGGTAGTTCCTCGTTGGGAGATCTAGAAATGAAACTCGTTACCAGGCAAGACATGGAACAGGACCCAAAATCACTGACCTAAACTGTTTGGTTTGATTTTTGTTTTTAAGATCCAAAATATTAGCCAGGCGTGGTGGTGCATGCCTGTGATCCCAGCACTCTGAAAGGCTGAGGCAGGAGGATCACAACTTTCAACCTAGCCTGAGCAACTTAAAGAGACCCTGTCTCAAGAAATTAAAAAAAAAACCAAAAAACAGGGCTGGGGATGTTGCTTAGTACAAAGGGCCTCAGTTTAATCCCCAGTACTGGAGGAAAAAAAAAGAGCCAAAATATTTGACAAGCAGAAATAACACCCTTCCCTCTCTATGCGGCACTTTGGAAAAATATCCACACAAGAGTGAAGAAGGTATTTTCATCTTTACATTAATTTTTAAAATTAATTACAAAGTCATATATGACTATATAGTATTATCATTAGTGGAAATTCATAACCACCTAAATTTTGGGAATAAAAAGTGAAAGCCCCTGACATAGTCATCTCACCACCCAACACCCATCTATAACCTCCAAATCCCACCCCATCCCTAGAGAAAGCCACCCACAGCTTGTGTGCACCCTCAGACCCTTTTCTATGTGGTAACCGTTCTCTATCAATATACTGTGTTTTAAGACACATAACCAAGACTATGCCGTCTATGCTACTCATCAACTTCCTTTTTAGACATTTTGTCTTGGGGACCTTTAAGAGAGAGGCACTGTTACTCATCCACAGGCAGAATGCTCTGGCTAAACACAGCTGCTGGGGCTGCAGGAACCAGGCTACCCACCATCTCAAAGTCTGTGCCCACGAGGCTGCTAAGATACTCCTTGTGTCGGCCATAAAGCTGAGGAAACAAAGCAAACCAACCCTCAAGATGCAGCCCAAATTCCTCAAAAGACTAAAACTAGAGTTTCACTTGACCCAGCTATTCCTTTTCTAGCTATCTTCTTCAAAGAGTTAAAAGCATCATAGCACAGCGATATACGCACACCCATGTTTACAGCGGCACAGTTTGTAGTAGCTAAATCTTGGAAACAGCCCAAATGCCCATCAACTGATGAATGGATAAAGAAAATGTGGGGGTTTTTCTTGTTGTTCTTTTGGGGGTTTTTTTGGTACTGGGGATCGAACTTGGGTCCTGGCGCTTGTGCAGCAGGCAGCGAAGCCACTGAGCTAAATCTCTGGCCCTAAAATGTGATTTTTATGTACAATGGAGTATTACTCAGCCATAAAGATAAACTTGAGACATTATCAGGTAAATGGATGCACCTTGAGACCATACTTTTAAATGAAATCAGATACACATGTTCAAATATCACATTGTTTCTCTCGTGTGAGAAATCAAAAGGGTAAATAAGAAAAAAAAAGGGTAAATAAGGACTAAAATAGATGATAGATGTTAGGAAATAGGAAGAAAATGTTTAAATGGGAAGGGGAACAAAGGAGGGGGAGGGATAAGGGAAGGAAGGTAAAAGGAAAAAGAGAATAGGAAAAAAAGAGTGGAAATAAGAAGGGGAAGAGATTGAAGGGAGAGGAGGGGAATGGGGAAAAAAGAAGAATCAAGATACCACATACAGGCACAAATTCCCTATGAGAAATGTGCTCATTATGTAAATTAAAGGTATACCAATAAAATTAATTTTTAAAACAACAATAAAAAACCAAAATACACTTAGAAAAAAAAAAGATGAGGGCTGGGAATTTAGCTCAGCGGTGCCACCGCGTGCATTGCAAGTACAAGGTCCCAAGTTTGATCCCCAGTACCAAAAAAAAAAGAAAAAGAAAAAAAAAAGATGTAGCCCAAGCCAGACCAGGGTTTAGCTCTGAACAGGAGGAAGAAGGAATAATGGGAAAGCCTAGGAAGAGCTGGAGGCCTAAGCATCCCAGCCACTCACATTTTAAAGCGAAGCACAAGGTGAACGTGGTGGTACATTTCTACAGTCTCAGCACTCTGGGAGGCGGAGGCAGGAGGATCCCAAGTCTGAGTCAAGCCTGGACAACTCAGCAAAGTAAGACGTATTTTTTTAAAAACCATAAAATAAAATATTAAAAATATGGGCTGGGGATGCTCAATGTGAAGGCCCTAGATTCAGTCTCCAATGATGATGATGATGTAAAGCACAGGGGCTCTGAAGTCAGCTTTTCCAGGGTTGAATCCCGGCTCTCACACTTACAAGCTCTGTCTACTTAGCTCCTCAATCTCAATTTCTTCACTTTAAAAATGATAATAATAAAAGTGTTTGCCTCATAAGTGGTTCGCAAGTTCAAGGCCAGGCTGGGCAATTTAGCAAGACCGTATCTCAAACAAAAAAACTAAAACTAAAAAGTGCTTGGGAAGTAGCTCAGAGGCAGAGCACTTGTCTAGAATGCACAAATCCCTGGGTTCAATCCCCAGTACCACACATATAAAAAAGTGCTCACCTTGAAGGGTTATCACAAGGTCTAAATGAAATGTATGTGAAGTACCCGGCACAGAACACAGTCAAATAAATGGCCGCTGTTACTTTATGTTACAATATGAGCAAAAGCTTCTGTCTGATTTGTCAGCTTTGCTTTCCTGCTCAGAAGAGGGCTGAGAGGAGCAAGAGCTTCCCCTGCACCCATGGTCTCGGCTCCCACTTTGGGCGGCCTTGCCTGTGGCACTCTGAAGGAACTGGCTCTTACATCCTTGAACATGCGCTGTTCCCGCTCCTCCTCTTCCGGCTGTGTGAGGGAGGACACATTGTCAATCGTATACTTCCACAGTTCCTGCTTCTCGCCCTCGGTCTCAACTCTGTAAAGTCAAAGCCACAAAACGACCACCTCTGATGAGAAGAGTGGGCCTTCCAGATCCATCCCAGGACGAGCTGGCATGGGTCACACACCTGGTTTGAAATATATGACAACAAAGGCGGCTGTAAAGGTGACCAGGAGAGGGAGACTGAGTGGCAAAGCAGAAAGGGCATCAGACCAGACTCAAAGAGTACAGGTCCTGGGCCCATTTCCACCTCAAAGTCACAGTGAGAATTTAAAGCACAACATCCTTGACACCCAGTTCTCTCACCTGGAAAATGGGCAGGTTGGGCCCACTAATGTCTAACTTACAGTTCTGTTATCTCAGAGAGAGAGATAAGGGAGAGTCCACCCAGCCTGGCTGAGTTCACCCGGCCCTTCAGTCCCTACACTCAGCAGTGCAGAGGCTCATTTTCTCTTAACTCTGCTGCAGCTGAAACAGGCCCTTTCGAACTGGCTGCACGTTTCCTGACAGTTTCCTAAGGGCCTATGGCCAGAAGAGAATATGTACCATGGCCTGGGAATCTAAAAGTTGGAACACATAAGGTGTTTCCTCAGAATCTCCTTGACTAGGGCCAAGAAGAGCAGCCAGGCAAGGAATGCCAGTCTCCATCCACCTTCTTTTTCCCCTCCTCACCTGTAGGGTCCTTTGAGGCCAGAGAAGTCAGGTTTTACTGTGATCACACCATTGCTGTCCACCTTCAGAATACAGAGCACATGTTCATATGTCTTATAGCCAAGCCTAGAAAGCAGGAAATCAACAGCAAGTTTCAGGATCCCGTGCCACCTCCAAAAAGAGAAGTCAGCCCACATCTGGGAAGAGGCCAGAGGAGGAACTATTATGAGAGCTATTGTGGTAAAACACTTTCTTCTGAGTACAGAGAAGAAGAAAAAGACCCTTCCTTCCATGTACCCCTGATGACTATAACAGGAAGGTGACAGTTAGGAGAAGAGGATGAGGGCCTGAGCTGGCAGTGAGGAGCGTCACTTACTTTCCATAGGGCCCCAAGTCGGCCATGATGTACATTGTCTGAAGAGGCGTGTTAATGACATGGTTGCTCCTGATGAACTCTTCTGAAGGTTCCCAGGTGACAATGCGTGACTTGAGGATGCCACCCTCCCTGGGAGAGAACCACAAGAAGGGTCACTTCCCGCACCCCCTAAGAGCCTGGAGGGGAGCCTAGGCAGTGACAGCGAACCTCTTAGAGCTTTCAATGATAACACAGTCCACTGTGGCACGTGTGCCCTACATTCGCCACCACTGGCCTAGGGGAACACACCTCTGTGGTGGTCCACAGCAGACGAGGAAGCTGAATCAATGGAGCAATGCGCAGCATGGGAGAACCACAAAGCCTCCACCCTACCCCAATTTCAACTCACATTCCTCGCCTGTCCTGCCGTCGCCGCCTAACATTTGCCGTTCGCTCGACCAAAAATGATGGCACCTCATTGGCTGCGGTGGTCATTTTCTGACAGTGCTGGGAAAAGACAACAGTCTTGTGAAAGCCATCCAGTCAGGACCACATGGAGCCAAGCACCCAAAGGGAAGTCTTCCTTCTGAATCTAACAGATATGGCCACATTGAAGTTACACAGGCTACTAGAAGGGAGACTAGACAATCAGCCCAAAGAGAACTTCTACCAGGTCTTGGTTTGTCCTAGGAGTTTGGGAATGAGTTATTTCTCCAAATAATAAAATTGGTCTGCCTTCCTTGGGCATAACCCTGCAAAAAGGTGGGTTAGTTTGCCTGTTGATATTGACATTAACTAGGTAGGTGGAATAGTGCCAAAAGGAACTTTGTAGCAAATTCTCACATGGGTAACTAAACACTCACTGTATTTTTGTTTTTCTAAAACAAACAACTATAATTTTATATGCTATCAGCTCAAAGCTTTCCTGAAGGCATGCCAATCTTTCAAAAACATTCATTTAATATGGCCTGTCTATAGAAATCTATAAGATCACAGACAAAAAAATCTGAAAATATGGGGTCTAAACTCAAGGAATTTTAAATCTCACCGAGAAGACAGAACACATACAATGATGGAAGAAAACATAAAGCAAATCCAAAAGGGAATGCTGGCATAGGCAAATTGAGGATATAAGCCACTCCCCGTGGCTGAACTGTACTCCTATTCAAACCCACATACTCAAAGTTTTGGCTGAATTTTATCTAGATTGTTCTAGACTCTGTACACCTATCTTACCATTTTGCACAGTTCTGGTTCCCCCAGGACTTCCAGCAGGCAGAGAAAAGAGTAGCAGCCACACTACCTGTGTCTAATCTATTCTAGCCTGGCTGCCGGCAAGCAGCTCACAGCAGTTTCTAGCCAGCTACCTGTCCTTGCTTCATGCTTCCAATGAGATCAGAAAACTAGGGGAGGCAAACAAGAAGGAAACTTAGCACCTTGGAAAGAACAATACCTCCTCCAAGTTGGTGTATCTGTCAGAGTCAGTGTAGGTAAAGATTCGTCGATTCTTCCTGCCACCAGACCTCTCCAGCTTCAAGATTTCTTGGCGGTACTGATAATCCAAAGGACTCTGACAGGCTGCTTCATTTTGGTACAGATCCACTTCAAACTGAGGTCACCACAAGGAAACAGATCTAGTGAGAATACATCAAATTCTTCTTCGTACAATCAAATCACTTCTATAAAACTGATGCTATTTCATATATTTTCATAAGCAACTCTCATTTATCTAAGTAACTGAGGGCAGAGGATACAAGAACTTTACAGCTAAAAGGAACCAGAGTGATGGTCTAATCCAATTGGGCTGTTATGGATGGCATACAACCCAGCAACCCAGAAATCAGACGTGCCTGAATCAGCATCATAAAACTGAATAGTGGCAGTCATCATGTTATGCTGCCCCCATAAACACAACAGGTGAAAGTATAAACCATTAATTTTCTGGAATTCAGTCTGGCAATATGTATCACCAGCTAAGTGGAGGTGGACCAGGCAGAAACAGTCTGAGCAGACAAGTAACACTGTCTTACTTGGCTAAAGAGCTTCTCCTGCCACCCAATCTCGACCTCTTCCTCTTCCTCTTCATCTGGGCGGTGTCCACCTCCAAAGACAAAAAAGTGAATCAAATGCTTGAAATAAACCAGCACTTCTTGCTCTGTGGCTGGGGATAACCAAAGTCCCTACTCATATATTTACTATAAAACCCTCTGCAATTCAGTGGTTAATTAAGCACTCAATCTAGAAAAAGGCCCGAAAAGTTGTGGATATGCTCTGGTTAGTATGAGCAGAAGCCAAGATTAGGACCTAGGAAGTCTTAATCACTAAGTTGATATAAATAAAAGGCAGTACTGCCTTCCTGGAAATATTTTATTGAATTCAGTATCAGGAACTGAAATATAGTACAGGCTGAAGAGCTAGTCCTTCCTCAATCCTAATTGACTGCATTTGCTAGATAAGAGCTCTGGCTTTTTTATCTGACCGTTCCTAAGTCCATATATAGAATCATAAGCCTTGTAACTTAGGAGACCAAGCATTAGGAGAGGACAGGAGAGGCAAATAAAACGATTATTTAAAGCACCAAATCTAATATACTCCTGGCTGAATGTGCCTTTTTTAGAGTCACATGCTTTATAATCCACCAGCCCACATTCTTACCCAGGAACTTTTCTTTTCAGTACTGGGAATGAACACAGGGCCTTCACGCAAAATTACATCCCCAGGGCACCCCCTTTATAAATTTTGCAACAGGTCTCAATTATTCACTAAGTTGCCCAGGTTGGGGTCCAACTTTTGTGTACTACTATGCCCAGCAAAGCCCAGAACCAATAAAAAGAGAAACAGCAAAAGCAGAAGACTAGCGGTAAGACTAAGGTAAGCACCCTGACCCTTCTTCTTCACTCTTTGGTTTTCCAGATAAGGAAAATCACAAGAACACAGTTGATGTTCACATGCACATTTTTCAAGCCATCTCCAATTTTAAAGTTGTTTATAAAAGTGTTCACGTGTGTATTTAGAGTATGGAGCACATTTTCTTCTGCACAAAAAAATGTCACAAATGGCATTTAGGTTGCCAGGCAAATTTATAACATATTGAAAGTATGGTATTTGTTATTTTACTACATTTGACTACTAATTGAATACCTACTGGGGTGGCAGAAATCGTGTCTTATTCAATTTTCAAACACAATACAATGTAGTCGTTAAGACTTCCTGGATTCAAAACCTGATCTCTGGTTTCAACATTTATCAACTGTGGGACACTAATCAAGGAACTAATTCAACCTCTTTAAGCCCTCTGTTGTTTGTGTGTAAGAAGGTGCAGATTTCTATTAAGATCACAAGCCTGGATCTATCTACTGTTTCAAGAGGTATTTCTCCTGTCCCAGACCCTTTCCCGGATCCCCAAGGGGCCTCATGCCACCGTGATACCCACTGGCAGTTGGGTGAGGCGTAAAAGTGGCCAAATCTATAAGGTCCTTCCCCGGCTGGGCAACAGGCTGGTAACGAAGAAAGTTGCTTGATGTGATTCTTTGCAGATGAACTCTGTCAAGAAAAGAGAATCCCCAAATAGGCATTACACACACAACCTGGAGATGAACACAGCAAGGACTGGGGAAACAAAACCCAGAGGTGGAGTTGCCAAGGGTGCTGGGTGCACGCAACTGAGAGGTGGGTGGGGCGCAGGGGTCTACGGGAAGTTAAAACAGTAAAAAGATGTGTTACGGGCACAGGATTCTGATGGATGGGGGTGGGGGGAAGGACTTCAAAGGACTGGAAGGTATGCTTGGAAGGTATGCTTGGAAGCTGTGAGTGAAAAGAGTCCAGGTGGTGCCCGGAGATGTGCGGAGATCGGGAGGAAACTAGTCCGGATTGAAAGCGGAAGTGAGGGCCTCAGAACACGGAAAAGTTTAGGCTCGAGTTATCTAAGAGCAGAAAATCATGTGGCCCGGGTATTTCTACCGGAGGCGCAAGTTGCGCACGGGGTCCCTGGAGCGATACACAGCTTCTCCGGTGTCAGTGTTCCAGACATTCTCCGCCATGACAGCTGCGACCCGTCGCAATAACGCCGGAAAGCGCACCAGCCCCCGTCCCCCTGGCAACGGAGACGCTGCGTACGCCATCCGCAGTTGGTTTTTGCCAATCAGTTCCCGGTGCGTCCCAGGCAGAGAGCGCTCGTGAGCTCGAGCGCGCTCTCGCCGCGGTTCACCGCCTGCCACATGTGTGAACAAAGCTCACTCATATCCGGGCGGGATTTTGATGCGCTGTACAAAGGAGGAAACAGTGCTGGGGTCCAGACCCAGGGGAACTGAGTCTTCACCCTCTACTTTTTCCACTGTGCCAGGCTGCCTTCCACTGAACGCGTGAAAAGTTTGGCCTGCAAGTCGGTGGATGTGGCTGAAAGAATACATCCATTATTCTCAAAGGAGGCAAGGAAGGTGGCGTGATGCAGACACGAAAACATATTCTTGGAAGAAAATTAACGTGCCGGCTGAATTAGTCGCTCTGTTGGTATTCACTGAGCCAGAGAAAGAAAAAAACAAGGAAGCCAACAATACAAACAAGGAAGCCAGCCATAAGAAAGGCAAAGGTGACTTTACGAACCGGTCCTCCCCATGCGTGTGTTAGTTCTGGATTATTAAATCAATATAGATTTTACACTGGCCCCCTGAAACGCCAACAATGTGACATTGAGAAGTCATGCTTCATGCTACCGACTGTGGAAGGAAGGATACAACATAACTCCAAGTCTGGCACCTTGGCATCGTTGGAAAGTCAACATCTGTCATCCTTTGACGTTTGCTACCCATCCAACAGAGTAAGTAGTTGTCCTGTGAATTCGGGAATCACATGATTACGTGGCCCTAGGAGCCCTGAGCACCTTGGCCACTACTTGTGTAACACCAAGGACTCACCATAAACAGTACAACCTGGGCATTTTGCATTATCCCTCCTTCTCGTAGAAACCACTCTAGGTATATTTATTCCCATTTAACAGATGAAGTTAGTGAAGGCCAGGGGTTAAATGGCTTGCTAAGGCTGTACTCTAAAAGTGGTAAAAACCCTGGAATTCCAACCCAGTCAGGTCTGCCTGTCTTTTGAAGCCCAGTACCTTCCCTTCTGACTTTCAGCCTCTGGGTTTATTCCATAAGAACACACAATTTCCAGTCTAAGGAATCATTATTTCAACAGATCAAACTGTAGAGGCAGAACACTAGCTTCTTAAAAAACGATCGTTACATTTTTTTCCTTTTAAAGTTATGAATAAGCTGGGCATGATGGTGCACACCTGTAATCCCAGCACTTGGGAGGCTGAGGCAGGGGGATTGCCACAGGTTTGAGGCCAACCTGAGCTGGCCTTGAACTTGAATTACATAGTGAGATTCTGTCTCAAAAAAAAAAAAAAAGTAAATAAATTATAAAGTTATGAATAGACAACACTTCTGTGTGAATAAATGATAAAGGTGAAGCCTGCATCAACAGATTAGTTTTACAACCAAATCAAACTTCCATACCGAAGTCAATCTTCCATAATTACATGCAAAATAGTTATACACATGGTATGGAAATATAAGCTATTTGTATAAGTAACCATAACTAGCATTATTGTTATACAGATAAATTAGGTGTTTATATTTTCTTTTTGCTTGCTGATATCTATAACTCAAGACTCTTAAAGTTGAGATCCATGAGTAAGATTTGAGAGGTCTTCTTTATATTCTGTATGGGGGATTTTTTGCAGAGCTCATAGTTTTGTGTTTGTTTTTTAAAAATCAGATTCTGGAAATAGTTTGTACCTTGATATAAGAATGGCCCGATTGGGCCAGGGATTTAGCTCAGTGGTGCCGACGCCTGCCCCGCAAGCGCAAGGTCCAGAGTTGGATCCTCGGTACCAAAAAAAAAAAAAAAAAGAATGACCTGATTTCCTACCACATTCATACAGAGTTCTCCCTAAAATAACACACTATGGGTAAAGCTTTTAGTTTAAAAAAGAACTGCAGCGGGCATGGTGGCATGCACCTATAATCTCAGCACTCAGGAGATCGGAGGCAGGAGGATCATCAGTTTGAAGCTAGCATGGGATATATAGCAAATTCTAGGCCTCCATGGACTACACAGTGAGACCCTGTCTCAAAAAAAAAGGAAAGGAAAAGAGTTACACATACTATCCTTAAGGATAGATATTATTGTCTTCATTTCACATATTTAGAAACAAAGACTCCTCCCCATTTTTTTCTTTCCTAAATTAGGCCCATCTGATCCATATCAGAATAGACCACCAATGAAGCCTCTCTTCTCCCTACCTAGTTGGTATTTTATATTTTACCTAGGCTCTCCTGACTACAAGAATTTAGAAACCAGAAGAGGAGACTCTACTGCCTCTCTTGTGCCTCTGTTGGTCCCAGGGGGAGATGCTTTTGAATGAAATAGTTTTACAAAGAATAATAGACCTGGGTTTCTCTCCTCTATCCCACTTTGATTATAGATGAAGGGGCTATGAATTACAAAGATTCCAGTTATAAAGCAGAAATGATCAGATTGGATAAAAACATAAGATTCAACTATCTGTTCTCTGCAAGGGTAAAGAACCCCACTTTAAATATGAAGGAAATCAATGGGAAAAGATATATGAATGCAAATAGTAACCAAAAGGAAGCTGATAGTGGCTATATTAATAGCAGACAGGGTATAGTGATGCATGCCTGTAATCCCAGACTTGGGAGGCTGAGGCAGAAGGATTGCTGGGAGTTCGAGGCCAGCCTGGGCTGCATAATGAATTGAAGGCCAGCCTGAGCTACAGAGTAAGACCCTGTTTCAACAAAAAACAAAAAATTAAAAAAAGAAAAAAAAAAGCAGACAAAGGAGACTTCAGAACAAGGAATAATACAGGGATAAATGGGGGTATTTTGTAACAAAAGCATCAAGTCATTAAGAGCATCGTGAATGTAAATGTTATGTATTTAATGAAAGAAATTCTAAAATTGTTGGACATGAAAGGAGAAATAGGCAAATCTACAATTATCATTGAAGATATCAATAGTTTTCTCTGAGCAAGTGATAAAACATGCAGACAGAAAATCAGTAAATAAATTGACGACTTGAACATCATCATTAATCAATTTGATCTTGTTAACATTTGAAGAACACTCCACCCAAGAACAGAATGCATAGTCTTTTCAAATTCACTCAGGACATTGAGTGAACTAGACTATTTCCAGACTATAAAACAAGTCCTCATGATTAGCATTGGCAGAAGAAAACAGCGCACTGAAGATAAACCAATTGGGATGATCCATTCTGAAGCCATGTTAACAAAAACTTATGTATAGCTTTAATGCAATCCCATCACAATACCAACAGTGTTCTACACAGAACTAGAAAAAAAATCCTAAAATTTACATAGACCCAGAAAAGACTTGTAATACCTAAAGCAATCCTGGGCAACAAGAGCAAAGCAAGAAGCATCACAATCCCAGATCTCAAAGTGTATTACCAAGTTTCAGTAATAAAAACAACATGGAACTGGCACAAAAACAGACATATGGATGAACAGAACAGAGAATGTAGAAACAACCCCAGGCACACTCCAACATCTGATCTTTGATGAAGTGACCAAAAACAAATGTTGCTAGGAAAACTGGTCATCCACATACAGAAGACTGAATCTAGACCCATATTTCCCACCACGCATTAAAATAAAATCAAAATGGATCAAAGACCTACATACAATATTAAAACAGAAATGATCTGCTGGAAGATAAAATAGATAAAACTCTTGAAGACATAGGCATAGGCAAAGACTTCCTGATCAGAATCCTAGTTGCACAAGAAATAACACAAAGAATCAACAAATGGGATTATATCATATTAGAAAGCCTCTGTCCAGAAAAGGAAACAACCAACAGAGTGAAGAGACAACCTACATAATGAGAAAATATTTTACCATCTACTCCTTGGACATATACAAAGAACTCAAAAAATTAGACTCCCCAAAATAAAAGACCCAATAAAAAATGGACAATTGAAATTAATGTACTTCGCAGAAGAAAAGTACAAATGGCCAATAAACACATGAAAAAATGTTGACCATCACAATGCAAATTAAAACAACACTAAGATTTCTTCTTATTCCAGAAAGAATGACTATCAATAAAAGCTCAAATAGCAATAAATGCTGGCAAGCTACAAGGCAAAAAGAAACCTTTCTGCATTGTTGGTGGGAATGTAACTAGTGCAAACACTATGGAAATCAGTATGGATATTCCTCAAGAAACTAAAATCATAAATTCCATTTTACCCATCTATTCCCCTGCTAGGAATCTTCCTGAAAGAGTTAAAGTTATCACATTATAGTGATACACGCAATACCCATGTTTATAGCAGCACAAGCGCAACTCATAATAGCTAAATCTTGGAAGTGGCCTATATGTCCATCAGCAGATGAATGGGTAAAGAAAATCTGGTATTTATACACAATGGTGTACAACTTGCCATAAAGAAGGATAAACTTGTGTCATTTATAGGAAAATGGATGCACCTTGAGACCTTAATGCTTAGTGGAAGAAATCAGACACAGAAGCTTAAATATCACATGCTTTCTCTTGTATGAGAAGCATAAAATATAAAAAGCAAAATAAAAGATAGATAACAGGAAACAATAAGATAGAGCTTTTGCAAGTGGGAAGGAGATCTAGAGATGGAGGGAGGAGGAAATGAGAGGGAAAGGGGAAATAAGAATTAAGATGCAGTATGTACATATCATGTGCTAATCTCCAAGGTGAATGTATTATGTATTGTAAACATGTACTGTACTAATTTTTTTTTCTTTTTTTGGTGCCGGGGATCGAACTTGGGTCCTTGTGCTTTCGAGGCAGGCAGTGGAACAACTGAGCTAAATCCCTGGCCCCTGTACTGTACTAATTTAAAAGGCAAACTTTAGAGGAATTGGATGAAAAGACACGATCCAACTATATGCTGTCCATAGTAAACAAACTTTGGATTCAGAGACACAAAGAGGTTGAAATTGAATGAATGGGGAAAGGATGTACTAAGCAACCAATAAGGAGAAAGCTGGAATGGCTCTAC